CTATTATTGTTATTATTATATTACTTTATTATTGTTATTATTATTTTTGTTTGTCATTGTTATTATTATCACCATTTTTATACTTATCATTATTATGAATATTCATTATTGCTATTATTATTACTATTGTTTTGGGTTTTTTAAAAATTGTTTTTGTTACTGTTATTATAAGAAGACGCTACTGTTTTTTCTGCCTGCCTCGTTCTGTATCTGATTTTGTTTACTCCGTTTCATTCTCTAGAACAACAACAGTAACATAAAATAAAAATAATTATTAACCGTATATTGTCCTTTTAAAATGTTTGGCGGGGGTGGACAACCAATCCAATTACTTTGCAGCACAAGCTTAAGACTGTTAAAAGATCTTCCCGTGTGTCGTTCTGGAAAGCATTTCAAACTAGGACGCTAAATGCTAGGACTGATTTGTTTACTTAGATTGCCTTCGAAGCCGAACATATATGCATGTAAGTGTTTTTTACAGACATATGCGTGTGCTATAACGCATGGTGGACAAATAATAGAGTATTTATTCATCAAATTTCTTCTGTTGTCTCCTCAGACCCTGGACTTCAACGTGAACACAGAATGCGACAACGCAGGGGATTTTTTGCTGCACATAGCCGTCCGCAAAGGTAGGTGGACGAAACTATATCTTTATAAATATTCTGTCTTGTTATATTTTAGACGTGCTGCTTGATTAGTCTGGGGTATACCGGATTGTGCAGCGGGCCACTTTTTTGTGGTAAAAGCAAGAAAGTTGGTGGTTAGCGGGTACTCTGGCCTTTTCTTTCCTATCAAACACCTATCGCCCTTTTCTCTCCTCTTTTCTTTATATGTAACTCATTAGTAACGCCTCGATTCTTCGAATCTTTCATGACCTATTTGTTTTGTAAGTACCTTAAACTTCAAATGAAAAGCAACACAAACTTTAAGACATTCAGAAAGATGGATAGAAAGAACAAGGGGAAATTAGAAGAGAAGTTAACCTAGCAGTGGCGTCATCCAACTACCCGCCCCTTCGTCTTTATTCCACTTTAATCTCATTAGCAAAGGTGAAAAGATCAAACAAATCCAACAGTTTAGATATCTAGGATATATGATAACATCTGATGCCAAATGTTCCTCAGAAATAAAACGGAAAATTACAATGGCTAAGGCTAGTTTCAATAAAATGAGCCCAATCCTGAAAAATAGAAACATCTCTATGAACACCAAAATGAAAGTTCTGAAATACTATGTTTGCTCAACCCTTGTATATGGCTGTGAATGCTGGACAATCGCTAAAGACAGTGAAAATAAAAATAAAACGAACCTGACATAAACCATAGCCTCCACTCCCCTTATCTCTGTATTTGTAGGTGTGTCTGATTTTGTGGATATGCTTTCTTGCATCTGCGCACTTTATAGTCTTACAATATGTCATTGGATTCTGTTCCCCTTTCATAGCTGCGACTTATGTAACGTCGCCAACGCCAAGGTCGCTTACCTTGACATAGATCACGCGAGTTGTCACGCCTCGGTTACCGGACAAGGAGAGGCCTTGCTGCTGGGAGGGTTATTAGAAAAAACAACAACAACCCCAACAATTGGAGTGAAAAATTAAAAAAAAAAGAAAAATGGAGAGGAACCCCC